ATGATTCCTCGCGATAAAATAGAGGGGGGGGGGAGAGAGAGGGGTGCAACGGTCGTGGGGCCGCGCCGGGAGGAATCAGCTTGAGACAATTAAAGATATCTATCTTTCAGTGAGATATCTAGCCTTGTTGAAGGGACCTTCGGGACCCTCTCGCCTATCGAACGTGGCGCGTGCCCCTGCGCAACTGGGCCCCATGACGAAAGGAGCCGCAAGGTGTTGCCCCGGCGAGCGCTGCAGATTTCAGGATAAAGAGGGCCGCCGACCGACGAGAAGAAAAAAAAAAAAAAAAAAAAAAATACCTTGTCCCTTGCGAGCACTCGTTACAGTGAACGTTACAGCCCTTCTGAGGACTCGAGTCCGTTAACCCAGCAAGGACGCGTTAAAAAATTTCGCCCGGAAGCGTGCCAATCGATCGTAATCGGTCTCGAATTTTATTGATACACTTTCCAACCAGTTAACTGCGTTTTCGATCGAAAAGTTCATTTCGGTGCGGTTTACACTCGTCATGTGAAATAAAGAAATTACCTTGTATCATAATTACTATTATGTTTCCTTTGTATTACCAATAGAACTGCTATGTATTTTATTAAAAAAAAAAATTTTTTTTTTTTGATTATTCTCTTCGGTATACTAGCTGTATTACAATGTGTCGGTTCTTGCAAACTGAGTTGATTATTTTCGATAACAATGCATTCGGTATTCTCCGAATTATTTCGTATACTTCACTTCAAAAAGAATAATCAAAGCTTCTTTGATCTTGGCACGATTTTTCTTTCTTGGTTGGTGAAACGTGATAGAAACAGTTTCATTTCAATCATCCGAACGGTTCACGAGAGAAGAATGGGAACGTTGGTTTTGACAAATGTTTGAGTTGAATTTTCAAATTCACTTTTGATACGCGAGAAACGAATTTTCCAAGAAATGCTGAAACTTGATGTTCTCCCTTTTCCCATATAGAATAGAATTATATTCTGTCGCTCGGGATATAAAATTTTACAATTTAAAGGTGACAATGAGCAACGTCTTGCCATGCAGGTTCAAGTAGGTATTAAAGAAGTAGGGCACTTTTTGTACCACCGTGCCTCAAAGAATTAATCGTTTGCGGTCGTATTCCACTCGGTTTGTCAGATGGGCAAGTGCCGTGTTGAAACTTTAATTTTCATCGCACGAACACTAGTAATCGGAGGAAACCGTCTAAAGAGACAGAATAAATGAAATTCTGTCTCACCTTGTAGCAGAATCTTGTTTGTTCACACGCAAGATGGCTGACGAAAATATTTCTCTGTACCAAAGAACTTTAATTCTTTATCCTTTTTTTTTTTCAAGAAATAAATATAACACGTGTCTAACAATTATATTTTAAAAATCAGTATAATTCATCTTTCGTTAATTCAACGTATATCGAAAGCACATGTTGCCTTTTGGATTCTGGATCTCACCCATCGAGGAGTATAATTGCTTTCTAATAACCAACGTCGTAAACTGTGACGAGCCGTTAACAAGTTTTTCATCGAAAACGAGTGAATACGAGTGACTTGTATCCGATAGATACGCGAACGAAAAATCAATTAAGCCCAGGTGGGAGGTGGGCCACGTGCCGAGTGCCTGTGATAGATCGATGTTGCCGTTCCCCGTGTCGACGATCTATTTTTCTCGAGGAAGAATCAACCCTCGAGAACCATATGGTGCGTTGGACATACGGCGCGATTCGATAAACGTGCAACATCGTTCGTGCATATTTCCTCTCTTCAGCCTGTGCAATTAAAGGGAAATCGTGCGGACTGTTCAACAGTAACATCGC